GCTGTGGGGAGCAGCTTCTGTTTACCTTCCGGTGGACGTCTTGTAACGGGCGGAATGCCGCCGTGGTAAGCGCAGCGGTGACCCTGCCCTCCGGGAACCGCCGTGGATGTGCCGGTGCGATGAGAGTATTTCTGTAGGTGCTTGGAGGGCATTGCTTGTACCACGTCCGTTTTAAGGGCCGTTACGCGTGTGTCTCCCCTTCAGTTTGATCTAGGATCAAGAATGACTGGTGCATGCTATAATATTTTTTGCATAATAGCTCGGGATGGTGTCAGTTAACAGACTAGCGTTGCTAATAGGTGATAACTGTTGTCTTTAGAAGCAGCCGTTTCAAATAAAATTTGACCTTATATAGTTGAACTTTTTTTTTTTTTTGGAAGGGGCACACGGTCCTCCAGCTGTAAGACAGGAAAATGGTAGCCAGAGAGGGGAATCGGAAATAAACATCTTGTGTTGCAATACATGCAAAAGGCCATATGAACAGTCTACAAGTGAAGAACATATTGCAAAGCGTGTAAAACATGATGAAGTATACTCAGCGCCAACAGTCAGTGAAGATAAATTTTCATATATGGGTGAGGTCTTTCATTATTCCCGTAATTCTTTTCAGTTCTTTGCACTCTTTCACAAGTAACAAGTGTAATTATTAGAAAGCTTTTGGGGAGGTTTGTGTGTGGCAGCATCAGGCCTAGCATAACATTGTTTCTTTTTAAAACGGAAATGTGAGCCACGATATATTTGTTCACATTGTCTTTCAGTGTAATTTTAATTGGCTTTAACTGGTATCAACGTCTAGTGTAATCTGATTGTTGTAGGTGTGATTTTATGTGTGTCTGGATTACAGACTATATTTAAATATACAGATATAGCTGGGAAGTTTTAAGTTGACTGAAGAAGATGGGAACTGTAGTGAGAATGTGGAACTTGGGGCAGAGGTGCTTCTTGAGGCTGACTAACCTGACACCAGTTGAGGGTGTGAAGCTGCAGTGGGACTTCTGGTGTTCCGCATTACGAATTTACATGGCTTCTGTAGTTAACTTTTTGAAGGGCTCTCTGGGGGGGGAAGTTTTGGGGATTAATCTGCTGGCAGACGTTTCTGTTTGCTTAAAGAGTACATCCTTGAAGGAGTGCTTTAACTTCTGCTTTTGGTAATTCTTTTGTAGGTGACTTTGCAGTCGTTTATACAGATGGTTGTTGCTCAGGTAATGGACGTAATAGGGCACGTGCTGGAATAGGTGTCTACTGGGGACCAGGCCACCCTTTGTAAGTATCTGGATGGATTCTTTTTTTAAAATATATTACTGTTTGTTTTGTGTGTGATTTACAATACCAGCCTCCTTTTGAATATGTAGCCCTGCTGTTAAGACTCATAATGACAGTGCTATGAGACTAGTGAGTTACTGAGGGGAAAAGAGAAATCCGTTTCTCTGGGAGGTAAGAATGTGGGGAAAACCAACTGGAAATAATACTTTTAGGGGCTGAAGCTATAATTCAAGTGATGCAGAAAGTTTTAAAATAGGTGTAGGTGTGCAGAGAAGACAACAAATATAGTTGCATATTGATGGCAGGTCCAAATATGCAGGTTGCATTGTGCAGGTAGAAGTTAGAGCTAGAGTATCTATTCATCCTCCTTTATAAAAAGAAAAGCAGTTATCCTATTTGTTTTTCTAATGTGTAGTCATTATACACCATTCTGAATATTTGGGGTAGCTAATCCACTATTCATTCCTTGGACACAGAAACACCAGTGAAAGACTTCCTGGACGGCAGACTAATCAAAGAGCAGAAATACATGTAAGTAGTAAATGTCCTAAAATGCTTCTGCATGTTAGACTGCAGTAGTATGCTCATGACTATTTCAACTCTGGCCTTGAGAAACCAGTTATGGAGCTGTGAGGGAAGTACACAAAATGTCAGGAGTTATGACTTGAAACAAATAATTCTCTTCAAGTTTTATTGATCTTTATTGGTTTTGAACAAGGTAATTCACCTTGAGAATTCCTAATTATCATCAGGCCAAGCACAGCTATTTAAAACAGCCTTGCATTAGGAAAGCCTGGTTCTCAAATCTGGATAGCATCCTTTGCATTTTTAATGTGCGTATCTCAGACCTTGGGGTTAGGGCTGCTGAGCAGCGGTTGAGAGGAGAATAGGCTTCTTATTGTACTGGGATCAGAGTGCCATATTCCTTAGATAAATATAACAAACAATTCTAGGCACTCAGGAGTAAATTCTGGTACTTCTGAAGTAAACTTCTGTTGGCAACAGCAGATTTAGTCTCCCCTTCTCACCTCATCTTAATTCTGGTACTGCTGCTCTCCTGCACCGTGTGTTTGGAGATGAACTGAAATGAGAAATCAATCTGCCTAAAAACTACGGGAAGTTCATTTTAGTGAGGGACAAGCAGAGATAATGGTGGTGTGCCAGGGGTCAAATTTGTCACTAAAGAGCTTTTCAGCTCTACATCCAGACCCAGTCACTTCTCCCTCTTATTATATTTCATAGCACCAGAAAAACCCAAACAACCTTTTAGGGGTTCCAGACTGTTGGAACTGGTATGAATCCTTCCTCCTTAAAGTTACGAAGAAAATGCCTAAAACTTGGTGTGCAGTTGATGGAGGCTTTGATAGAAAATTGGGCAGAGAGCTACTCCTCTAGTACAGAGTTGAACCTCAGAATGTTTTGGTTTTTTTTTTTGCCGTGAAACTTAAGTGGCTCCCTGTTTGCCTGATTCATTAAGTGGTCGTTTGCATGCACAGTCTTGGGAACCTCTTGCTCTAAAGCATGTTGATACTCATTGATGGAGAGATTACAGTAATATTCTTTGTAATTCTGTGTTAGCATCAGGTACTTTGCTGGTATTTTAATTGCATGTGTTCAAATCCTGTTCTGAACTGTGATTCTATTGAAATGTTCTTAAGGCAGCCTGCAAAGCAATAGAGCAAGCAAAGAGTCAAAACATCAAGAAACTAATTATCTACACTGATAGCAAGTTCACTATTAATGGTAAGTTAACAATTTTAGTTTTCCTGCTGCTTCAAGACATGCTGCGCGCTATTTCATTACAGAAGGCCCACAGAACATACTGAGTCCTGGGGAGAAGGATATGCATAACTTATTTCAATGCTCATGACTGCTTGGGGGAAAAGCTTCAGAATATTACAGGGATCACCTGCTAACTGCATGAAATACAAGTAGAGACAAAGTGCCTGTTACAGTAAAGGCTGACAGAAGTAACTACAGGATTTTTGTCTTATGGTATTTAGTATGACACAAAGCCTAGAAAAACTGTTGTTCATGTATAGTCTGTTAAGGATGTACTCAGGAGAGCACTCGGAAGTTGTTGTAGTAACCCTGTAGGTTTTTTGTTTGTTGGATTGGAGAGGCTGTCTTAATACACATATGTGAAGTACGTTCAAGTTTCCTTGCTTTTTACATGTAGACTACACTTCCAAGCTTTCACGCTACACTAGAAGACTAACTAGCCAGAGATGATATGTGCTCAGAGTATGTATTTAAAGTTTCACCTTCATTCAAAGATTTGGAAAAACTAATTTTATTCCCTATAAATACTATATGAAGCAGGCAGTAAGACTTAATTTCTGAATAAAACTTCTTCCTCTTTCCCCAAGATCATCAGATTTTACTCCCGTGGTGATATGGAACTGCATAAGTATTTTTTCTTTGTATTCCACATTTTTACAAAGGGAGTACATGTGTTTGCCATTTCCAGATCACTTTGGAGTTTTTTTTTTTCCTTTTTCAGGTGGCTCATGTTTAGAAGTAAAGGAAAACTTACCTTGAAATACTCTGATGTCACCTTGAGTAGCAATACCCTAGAAAGGACAGAAAGCTACTGAGTAGGAACAAGTGACTGCTAGTCAAGGAAGAAGTTGCTGGAGCTGTCACTTGCTGCTTGTTTCAAATTCTGTTAGCTTGCATGTGCATGAAAGAGGTTCTGTCCAGAAGTGAAAAGTGTCGAGGACTTGTGCCCTGTCCTCCTGATTCTAGTTTGTAAATGTTAAGAAAAAACTTAAAGGAATTTTCCATTGCTTCTCCCTAGGGATCATCTTGTAAATCTCATTTGAGTAGCTTATTTTCCCCAAAAGATTTAGGTATAGCATTTCCTATAGGAGCAGAATGTGTGTGTGGTGGTTTCCACACACACACACCCCAACCTTGGAGGTGGTGGTTTTTTTTTAGTCTCTGCTAGAAGCATTCTGGAAAAGGGAAGAGTAAAAGAAAGAGTCTCTACTCTTTGGGACTGGGTGTTGCATGCATGTTCAATAGAATCCAAGTGCATAATTTGTTGCAGGAAGCAAGTTCGAAGCATTAAGGAGCAATGAAACATCTTTGCAATTCTTTGTTTTGTGGGAGAAAAGTCTATACCATCTTGTCTGTCAAACTGGTGTTACGAAGGAGGAAAGTTGCTGTGTCGGGTAAAATTCCTGTTAAACTTTGTTGTGAGACTTAAGTATGAGGGAGGAAAAGAAGAATCTTTAGGTGTGATGTCTTGGTCACACCTTATTTTTGCTTGCAGTTTGCGCTTGCGTTTTGGGTCATTGTGGTGCAGGTTCCACTCTTTTTTTAATCAAAGTTATTTTGTAAATGTGACTAGGAGTTATTTTTTAAAATGCCAGAGAAGGATTGTGGTTAAGTACAAATGGATGTGGTTTGTTTTTTAGGAGGTTTGGTGTGCAAGATTGGTGATTCTCTATTTGGTTCAGGTCTGTTTGTCATGATAGCAGTAAGGGTGTCTATCATTGTCAAGACCAGTGAAGATATTTTAAAAAAACCCAACCCTTATTTAAGGAGTAATATAGTAAATTTTCTGGCCAGCAAGGGATGGCCAGAGTGTTAAATCTTGTTCTGTAGAAATCTGCTTATGTGGCTATTCTCCAAAGGATTCTGTTTAGTGTGCAGAAGCCGTAAGACAGGTGGCCGTCTGTTTTTCCTCTATGCAAGTATCTGTTTGGGAAAACATGGTAGGGTAATTGAAGTAATAATGGAAAAATAACAGTCCTGAAAGACAGTAGTGGAGAACCAAACAAGAATATCTTCCATCTCCGGTGTCTTTGCCTGAGACTTTGTACAGAGTTAACGTCTTGTTAAAAGGCTGTTTGCTCCATCTTGATCCTTGCTGGCTTCTTTAATAGCATTTTTATGGTAATGTTCCATTTGCATAGGTATTACCAGCTGGGTTGACAACTGGAAAACAAATGGCTGGAGAACAAGTTCAGGAGGAAGTGTAATAAATAAAGAAGATTTTGAAAGACTTGATAATCTATCAAAAGGCATAGAGATTCAGTGGGTAAGCACCTCATTTCTTAATGACATCTTAAACACGCTTCTTGTAAAAACTTGCAAGTATGACCATAACTAGGAATTTTATACAGCATAATATTGTACATCCATAGGTAAAACCATAAATACAGAAAAGCTGCTTGTTTTATTTAAAGCAAATAAGCAACATAATACTGGTTCCAAGAGCCTAGGTTTAATTTATTAAAATGCGTGTTTATATTTGTTTTCTATCTCTTGTTACTACTTAGAAAATGCCTGCAATAATTATTTTTAGTTTGTTAGTACTGTTAGCAGATGAAACTTCTGTTCCTGGAAATCTAAGCTTAAAACATAACTGTCTTTTTGAGTCATATCTGAATTTCTGGATTTGCTTTTCAGAACTCTTAAGGTGCTGGTTTGTTGGTGTAACTCAATCACATGAGTGTCTTTAAGCTGGGAAAACTAAGAGTATAACCCCAAATAAACTAAATCTAGTTTTCTGTACCTTAACTGTGTTTTTTCTGAGAAAACTGGGCACAGAAAGGTCTTTAAAATACCCTTTTATAAGTTTTAAATTGTTTCGCTCACCAGTAAAGAAGTAAAACAACTTCTATATAGGTATTCCTGGTAAAATGTATTTTTTTTGTAACCTCTAATATCAATGCTAAACATTGTAGGGGATATATTCCCTCCCTTCCTTCTAAATTTTACTCTAATTGTGGTATGTAACTACTGATTCTAGAAATAAATCTCTGTACCATTGACTTCATGGCTGCTAATGGCATATTTATTGGGCTTCTGTCTTTACTCTGTAGAAGATAGGATGACGTAGATCTTTAATGTGCACTTCTATGGGAAATCTATTGCATATATTCTTCCATTCATTGGTAGAATGAATTTGGCGGCTCACGGCTTAGACAGGTGTCCTCTTTGCTAGGTAAAAAAACTGGCTGGACGGCCGGGCCCAGAGGGTGGTGGTGAATGGAGTTCAATCCAGTTGGCGGCCGGTCACGAGCGGTGTTCCCCAGGGCTTGGTTTTGGGGCCGATCTTGTTCAATATCTTTATCAATGATCTGGACAAGGGGATCGAGTGCACCCTCAGTAAGTTTGCAGACGACACCAAGTTGGACAGGAGTGTTGATCTGCTCGAGGGTAGGAAGGCTCTGCAGAGGGACCTGGACAGGCTGGATCGATGGGCCGAGGCCAACTGTATGAGATTCAACAAGGCCAAGTGCCGGGTCCTGCACTTCGGCCACAACAACCCCATGCAGCGCTACAGGCTTGGGGAAGAGTGG